CAGAAAAAATCTAAAAAATATATGTTAAACTATAACTTATGAACTTTATTTTAATATAAAAACAAAAATTATTTCTTAATAAAATTATAAACTTAATATAAAAAGAAAATTTCAATTTTTACTATATTTTATTAATAAAATTGACCCGATTGCAAACTTTTGTCCACCGAGTGTACAATTAAAACACCTATATTATATATTAGAAATCCAATTGATAGCAGAATCAGCAATTGATTGTAATTAATTTGATTTATAAAAAATACTACAAACTTTCGCTTATCTGAATCTGTGTTATTAGAGATACAGTATGATACACGATAACATTTAATCAACCTCGAACAACAGAAAATTATTGTATATTGCTCATTTTATATATTTAATAGTAGCATAGCACAAAAATTTGTTGTTTATTTATAACAAAAAGATGACATTTAAATGAAACATAATGTATATTCGTAGTTAAAAAATGTGATCACAATCAAGCTGTTAGAGCTTCAAGGTTCTTGACTAACGCTTCTAATTGAAGTCTATTTGCACCAACAACATCATTTTGGAGGGATTTTCCTTTGAAGTAGAATTTAAAAGTGGGCAGCGCACTAACACCTTCAGAAACGTCCTATTAATCAATATATCATATGTAACGAGTGTTAATAACGAGTGCAAGTAATTGAATGAGCATTAAATTAAACATTAACATACCGACAAATTTTCAACGTTGACCTTGAGAAACGTGAGACCTGGATATTTTTCGGCAAGTTCCTTGTAAAATGGTGCAATGCCATTACATGGTGCACACCAGTCTGCAGAGAAATCAACTACCACCTTTTTTTAATATAAAAAATAAAAATAAAAATAAGATAAAAATATCAGTCAATTAGAATGTTGTTAACTACTTACTTTGTCATTGTCATTTATTAGCTTGTTAAAATGGTCTCCACTTGTAACCTCTACTAGGGACATGTTTGAAGTTGTTAAAATGAAGAGATAATTGATAAAATCGGCCCAATTATAGAAAATCAAAATGCGCAAAAAGCTTAATAATGTAATTACGTCATTAAGCAACTTTGTGCCGAAATCTTTGGATATCACTACCGAAAATAGACTATTGTATTTGTCATCCGAAAAGAATCACATGTTTTTCAATTTTGGAATATTTCAGTAGTACAATTAGAAAGACTAATCTCAAAATGGAACAATTCTTTCGGAAGACTACCGATACGCATAGTAGAAAGAAAAAGCAATTTAGAAAGTCTCAGGCCTTTACATTATATGCTGATTAATAACATAATGCATTCGATTTTATTTATACATAATTTAAACACCACCAATAAATAATAATATACATGTCGAATTACTAATACTAATAAAAAATATATTTTTTCTATTACGTACCTGAAAATCACTTTAATATCCATTTAAGTAACCTGTTGTTGCCCTCTACTATGCATCGGAGAAGATAATATTAAATTTTTATGAAGATCTTTTAATGTTTGTAGCATTGAATTGCGATAAGGAAAAAAGGAAATAAAATAATTGAGAGGTGAGACCTGTATGATGAACGAATTGGCGAAATATTTGTCAGAATTAAATACACAATTGATTACTACAATATAAGCATAGTACCAACCCATTTTGCTAAAAGAGGTGGCCAGATTCGTGTTTCATCTTCTATATCGGGTTCCTTTAAATAAGCGGGAGCATACTTTTGAAATATCTTACTTCCAAGTACCGTACTATTATATGTTAATGATTCAAAATTGATTAATAAGGATTGAAGAGTGAATAATTGCATGAAGATACTTACACAAATAATAAGCTGGCTAATTGAAACCAATTTTCACCAGTTTTAATGGTAGCATAATACACTAATTGATCAACGATGTAGAAGTAATGGAATTCAAGATCTACCATCTTTCTTTTTAATTCCTAAATATTTTAGTTTTATAGTTAATTATCCGTGAATTTTAAATAAATAATCATTATAATATTGAGATAGATACCTTATCGTCTGTTGTTAGCAATAGTTCGAACAAGTATGTATTACTGTTATAATCGCTGAGGAAGCAAACAGTATGATTTTCCAGCATACCAAAGGCATATGAACTTCGATAACCAGAAGCAAGCTATAAAGGGGAATTGCTTAATTGATTGATAATAATTATTAATATATAAAATATATCAAATCATAATCTAATCGAACCTGAAAATTTGAGATATGTCCAAAACTTATTCGTAATGGAATCCAATAATTTTCAGAAGGTCGATTTCTATTGTATACTGTGACATTTTCCTGTATATATTTTTCCTGGTTTATAAAAATATGTCGATTAAAATTGGTGGTTGCGCCTTATTTCGAATCAAAATATATTATATGTTACCCTTCGAACATTTTCCGCGTTTTTTATTAGCGCTCTACAATTAGGCCAAACTTTTACAATGTGATGCGAGTTTTGTGGTAATCTTTTATCACTATCTGGAATCTCCAATGTGAAATACATTGTATCATTGACTATTTCATATTCCAATGGAATATCGAGCAAATTATCGAGTCGAATTTCTCGATAGCTTTGATCGAATTCAACTATCCAATCTTCCTCAGACTCGGAACGAAATATTCTTCCTGAATATATTATAAAATTATATAATTTAATTGAAAAGTTTTTCAAAGTTATAAAATAGGCTTAAAAAAACAAAAATTACCCATCAATGCCTCTGATTCTTCATATTGAACACGAAGAGAAGGCATCCGACACTCTGCTTTAAGCATAACAGTTTGTTGATAATCTTTGACAAGTCTACAATTTACATGTATCTCTATATTTTTCTCTTCTATTTCGTCCGGATCTCTTTTTTCACCACGATCAATGGCAGCTTGAATTTGGGTAGAAGGTAAAGGACGAAACCGAATATATACACGGACATTACTCTCCGGATCTACGGTCAGAGTTTTGAAAAGTTTGGCCGACATCCGAGAAGTAGAAAATACAATTTCAGATAGATCATCACCGTCAATGTTTGTTTGAAACTAAAGCAAAAATAAATTAGCTGATATAATGAATAAACAATGAATATTCATTTTCATACCGTGAATTCTAAAGGAACAGTCTCACGATTGTATATAACCATACTACGTGCCGAATACTCGGATCCATAGAACAAATTGAGCATTTCTATACACGTTTGGTTGGTGTCAACACCATTAACATAAATATCAAACACATGATTGTTCTCCAGAGGGGTACTTGCACCACGTCTCAGGTTCTGTCGTGCAACAACCTAAGTTTAAAAATAAGAAATTTGGATTTAAAATTACTTTGCAACAAAAGAAAGATGCAATTATGAATTACCTCCATCATGACGCGTATTGTTTTTGTATCAGAAGGATTATTCAGGTTCTCGACAATCAAATATGTCGAATAAACACTTCTAATACTAGTGTAAAAGCTTAAAGTAATAGTGTGAATATGATATTGTCGATTTTGCCCCCCTCCTGATGGCTCCAAAGTTCCTTCTGTACGACTTATTTTAAGCCATGATTGATCGTTCGTGAAAACAGTTTTAATATGATATGATAATTGTTCGAAAGAAGAATTTTCCAATGTTAGTTTTTTCACTAAAGTAGGAGAGCCTAAATCTTGCTGTCCAAGATCTAGTTCGTATCTGCCGCCTACGACCACTGCCTCTCCAATTCGCTTGCATCCACGTAAAGTGATGAAAGGAAGGTCGGGTAAAGACGGCTGGTAAGGTTTTTCTTGCTCAAGAGATGGTGCTAAAGGCTTTTTTTGTATGGTTTCTGGAAGGATTACCATTGTGGATTCAGCCTCTTCGCTTTTCAGACGACTCTTTTTTCCTTTAGTGCGGTGATCACGCGCCTCGGATTCTACACTTACGAGAATTGTGTATCGTTGGCTTGACAAAGACTGCAAATCATCAATATGAATTTTAAAATCGTCTGATACTGGAACTGAATAGTCCTTTAACTCAATATTTAAAGTGTTTTGTTGCCCTGCGTCCACCACACCACATCCTTGTTCGTCTAAAGGTGAGACTGAAATTATTTCATGAGCTGAAACTTCGATCGGACCTTCTATTGTGACTTTAAATGATAATGGAATTTGGGCGCATAAATTTTTTATTATTACAGAATCAGAATGTATTTGCCATTCATCCGGACTGCTTGTGCTATTACTGTACTCGGAAATAGGTTTTCTTCGCTTACGACTAAGTGATGCTCGATGCTCATTCTCGTCATTTTCCTGAGTGTCATTAAGTTCATTATCAGAAATATACACAGCGGTCTTGAAAATAATCCGATTTTTTGATATAGTAAACGTTGAAGATTCTGTAATAACTCCGCGTATTGGGATAGTCTTTGTAATTTGTCCGCTTTCACTTTCCTCGATATTTGATTGCTTAGTCGCAATCCAAAGTTTGCCAAAAGTAATTCCATCAGGATTGATAAGATAAGATGAACCATGGGGTAATCGCCGCGATTCATTGGGATGAGCTCTTACTCTGATTTCTATTGAATTATGTGCGTTAACAGTCACATGACCAAGTAAAGGTGAATTCAAGAATCGTGACAAGATCTCTACTCTGAGAAAAGGTGAAACATCTGGACTAAGTTCTGCTCCAATCTCGAATCGAATATCTTCATCTCCAGAATTAAGAATAGTAAACCAAGTGTCACATGGTAGATCCAACCGAGGAATTGGATGATAAAGTGTAGGCAGAACAAGTTCCCCATTGACAAGTCGTTCAAACATCACTTCGAATAAAGTAAGTGTGGCTTCGATATTCAATATCATTTCATTGTTTGGATTGAACATGTTTAAAATGTTGATCTGAAAATCACGTTTTCCCGCTTCAAAATTCTCGATACTACGTGTTTTAAGAATAGCTGTGATGACCTGATCAACTTGTGAATTGACCGTACGTTTTAAAGAGACTATATCTTGACTGGGTTGCTCAGAACCTCCTTCGTCCATAATCCCCAGTATTTCTATACTGTCTGGACTTTGAAGCTCATAATGCAAGGGTATATCGGAAATGTTGCGCAATGTGAATTGAAATTTTACATTAGCCCATGAATTTGCATGACCAATCATTCCAAGGTTGATTTCTGCAGGGCTTAGTTCTCCGATGGATACACAATAATATGCGGTTAACTCGATCATTTTCACGGTTGCTTGGGTATTTAGGTCATAAAGCAACAAAACTCCTTGAAGGCTACCCTCTTTTCCTTTGCTAATTTTGTGAAGCTGGTCATTAGTTAATGAGCTTGGTTGTGGACAAGTTACATAAAAAAATGCTTTTTCGCCTGGCTTTAATTCAAGAACAGGACCACAAATTTGAAAGGGTAATTCACTATCATCATTTCGATTAATTATTCTTGGTTCACCGAAAGGACCCCATCTGACACTTATGTCCAAATTAGTTTTGGGAACTATTTGCAGAGTATCAGTCAACGATTTATTGCTTATTTCGACACATTGTTCATATAGAGGTGAATTTGCCGCTTGATATCCTTTTTGAATCACTGCTCGAAGATTAAGATTTCTCTCTTGTTCTTCCAACTGGAAATTTTCCGTTAGATTCTTTCCATTTTCGGTGATCGTCACATATATGTTATCCCAAATAAGTGATGGTAAATTTTCGATTTCCTTCGGACTTTCCGCCAAAATGTCATCAGTGGCGCCTTCCTTCATATTAACACGACGCTTTGTAGTAGTTGTTGATTTATTCATAAAACCTATAGTGTCAGGATCAACATAAAGTCTCACTTCAACTTCAAATACTTGCTCTGTATTGTTCAAATTAGTAACGATGATACTCTGACGGAATAATCCATATTTCGATGAGGTGACTTTGAAAGAAATTATAGCCTGAGATGTATCTTCATCGGACAGAGTATCTAATGGTGTTCCAACTTCAGTAGAATTAATTTTCGTGATTGATTTAGATCTCTGGCGTGACCACCCTCCCAAAGTACCTCGTGATCTATCTAGAATAATGCTACCACTTGGAGACTCGACTAAATAGTTCAATGGTAAATGACTGGAAAGATTTTGCAGTGTAAATGATCCATAAAATGTTTCACCAATTGTCGAAGTTGTGCTCAAATTAATAATTTTTTCAGATACGGACAATACAGATCGACCAATCAATGAAGTGAATTTCACTGTTTGCATAATTGCCGTGACTAATTCTTCTTGCTCGGAATCTAATTCAGTAGCGTTGTGTATTAACTTTGCTAATGGTGATGGTCCTTTTTCTTTAACTTGTACAGAAAATTTTATGCCGCCAATTAAAGTACGACATTCAGCATTCAAATTGGCGTTATGCTCAGCGACAACGCTACCAGGCATCATAGTCGAATTCGTGGAATTATTTAGATCCAAATTATGCCCAACCCGTCTTGCATTTCCAAGCATATCTCGAAGCAAATTAGGCTGTAAAGCGACCCATACAGTCATCGTTTTTCCTTTTCTTAACAAAGTTTCCACCACTTGACCACGTTCGCCACGCTCGTCAAGGAAAATGATCACTTGTAATGACAAGTTACTTTGACAGGTAATGTACACGTCTTGATCGGTGATATTCTCCACTAATAAAGGTGTTACTTGAGAATATTTTCGACCCGCATCGACATAGCAGTAGCCCAAATTCAAATCGGATTGTCCATCATCACCGAGTGCAGGGAATCTCAAGTATTGTGGGTAATGAACATAACCATGAAGAATAAAAGTACACTTTGCTTTTGATATCATATCTCGAACTATCAATGAATGTGCCTGGCGTCCAACACTATTAGCGAGTGTTGTGAAATCAATTCGCTTTGTTTGCTGAGGAGATAAGATACCACAGGTTTGTTGAAATTTGAAAAAGGAAGTTTCATGTATGGGTATGATTATTTCGTATTCCAAGTCAATATCGGCTCGATTAGAGATCTTGAAGTAATAATTATGCTCATGATTAACCTCAAGACGGCCGATATCTAATATCGATGGTTCTAATACTAATGAGTCGACGATCGATTCAATGGTTTGCTCAGGCAACACTACACGTGGAATCCCAATAGATGATGGTAATTCATTGATGGTTGATGAATTTTTTTCCGGGAATATGGCGGATATAGCATCAAGTAAATGATTTAATGGTGGGGGAGCAAAAGAATCGAGTAATCGGCGACTTAATGACTGGTTTTCTCTTTCATTTGTATTAGTGTCAGATGAATCTTGTTCTCGTGATTGAGCTTGCAAATAGCTCGAATAGTCGTAGCAAACTAGTGCTTTGAATACTATAGTCTTGAGATCATCCGTATTTTTATGTTCGTGTACATAAATATGCCCGGTCACATCTTCTTGTGCGGATTCAAATTCTGCTGGTGATGATGATGTACTAGTCGATAATGCCCTAAAAAATACAGATATAGTTTTCGTAGTGCGAGCTTCCAAAGGGAAAATAATCGATGTCGATGATGTTCTATATTTGGGTGCTTCTTTGCCATAACGTTTGGGAGGTGACTGAAGACTCTTTCCACTGGCATCACGCGTAGATGATTTCGTTATTGTCGCATTAGGATCTGAAAAGCGTTTGGTGGCTTCCTCTGATGAATTCTTTCGTCCATCACTTAATTTTTCTAATTTTTCGTCTTTGGTAAGAAGTGACGAAGCTTTTCCCTCGAATTCATCTTCCTCTTCTCTTCCCACCTCACCTCGTTGCAATCTAGATATTTTTTTCTCAAGTTTTTTTACTTTGTCTTCGCGACCCTTGCGTTTCGCTATTTTTACTTTTTGTTCCAAGTTTTCAATCTCTTCTTCCATTTCTTTGCTCACTAGACCACTAGTTTGAAATCCGCCCTCAACATCGTTTTGAATAGAAAACTTCACTTCTCCATTGCAATGATTATATTGGAGTTCTTTTGGATCCACTCTAACCTCAAATGTTCGTGATTGCCTATCAATATTGCTAATTACAATATGCTGCTGTACATGGGCAGAGTTCTTATCTATAAACCATGAACCAAAATTAATATTTGTTGGTTGGATTGAAAATGTTGATTGCTTTCGAATATTGGCCTTAACATAAACAGTTTGATCATTCTCTCGATCCTGGATATTTTCAATAATGAGTTTCTCGTGAAATTGGCCCGGAAGACTAGGATCAAATCTGAATTCGACTTCTTTTTTTCCATATCCACGAATTACACCATATCTTCCATCACCAAAAACAATATCACCAGAGGCAATGGATCCGGATTTTCGTATAGTATACAATAAAGGAACTTCGCTTCGATTCTGAATGACAATCGTTTTATTTCGATTTTCATTTTTATCTATTACGCCGAAATTTATGTTTTTTTGGCCTAAAACCATAATTGATCTGCATAAAGTAGAACGGACAAGTAGCTCTCGAACAGGAATCTGTGATAAGTCACCATGTATCAAGCTTTCAAATTGAGGTTGTTCGATATCTCGATCAAATTCGATTAATCGCAAAAATATTCTAGCATCTTGCTTCCGTGGTAGCCCTTGAACTAGTGGTTTCAATCGGCCATTCGGTGTGAATACTACCATAATTTGTCTCTCAGTTCCGGGTGGAATTTCAATCGATTTGACTGGAACTAATTGTTGATCTTTGATTCGATGCCTTAATTCACGGACAATGCCCATTTGATTGCGAACATATAACTCTTCCATTGAAGGTTTTGGAAATAATGGTGGTGCAGTGTCGTTGTTTACCTCGAGTGCTGCGATTAAAGATTCAAAAGACATTCTTGAAAAATCTATCGGCGCGGCAGATTTTTCTTTTTTGTTATGCCGTGTGGAAATTGCATTCGGTATACTCAAATTCTTTTGTTCTACATCACCCACACGAGGTGTTGATTGCTTTTTGAACCCTTCGTTAACTTGAATTTCTTTGGCTTCATTGGATAACGTGCTATTGCTGCCTACCGAAAAAGAAGAGGTTTGATTAGATTTACTTGTTACCCCGCCGAAGATGTTTTCAGCTTCTTTGACCCGCTCAATTGCAGGACCACTTGCATGACCGGTCTTTCCTAATGGCAATTTGTGCGGTCTTTTACGAGGTGATCTTCGTATATCTTTAAGGGAAGAAGATGCAAGATCAAGATAAGCGGTCGTAGTGGAAGAAAGATCAACAGTGGAGAAATCGGGAAGATTAGGAGTATTGCTTCTTGTGTCTCCAACTAAATTAGAACTTGATAAATTGCTATTCATAGAAATTGAACCTCCAGTGCCTTCAATAACAGATATATGCTTCTTTACTGAACGTCGATCAGCTATCGACTCCAAAAGTTTCTCTCGTCTTTCTATTTGAGCACTTCTGGGTATCTCATTCATAGCAGCTGTCCCTTCTGCTGTGCCATTCTTAGTCGGAGTAACATCATTTGAACGAGCAGTTTCATCAATATTTTGCTGCTTCTGATACATTACAATCTCATCAGGCAATGAGGAAGTGAGCTCCAACACTAGATTTTTTTTGCTAATATTGTCAATTGTAAAAGTACGAACTCGAGGGGAGTTCAAAACTGTCGATCCAAAATTAAGATAATGACTAACATTTGCGGTTAGTATTCGATAGAATAAGGAGTGAAAGGTGACTCGATTCTTATCGATATTTGCACTTCTCACTTCAATTATTTTATCATTATCACGATTTTGTAAATTGACCATTGTGATCTGTTTGCGATAGTCGATATTAACTTTTCTCGGATACATGTCCAGTTTCACTTTGATTGATTGTTTTGGTGGAATCGTAATTTCATCACGATTACAGCTTAATACTTTTGAAATGAATTGCAATTCTACGTGAGCCGTTAATTCAGACAAATTTTTGATCACTATCGGCATCGATTTCAAAGTTCCCACATCGGTATCACCGAAATTAACTTCTTTTGGTTCTACCTTCACAAACGAGGTACAACTGCGAGCCTTGCATTTAATAATTTTACGCTCTCTATTGTTAATTTCAAAAGTACCCATTTTTGAATTAACAGGCCCATAAGTTAATATAATACGAAAAGATCGACGCGTAAGATGACCCGCATTAAAGTCATTGGCAGATGAATCCTTTTCTGGTCGGTAAGAAACCTGCACAGTTCTTTCTCGACCAGGTCTCAGGAGTACTTCGTCAATTTGAGCTACCCCCTCTTGATTATCCAAATACAAATATCCCTTTTTAAATACTTCGCCTTTGGGTGTAAAAACAACGTCAGAGTTATTGCCAGTGAGTGGACCTTCAAAATCCGAGTCTTCGTGCAAATTAAATCGATGGCGACTGGTAGATCTTGATGTCGATTGTGATAATGGTTGACTTTGAAAACCTGCGATTTCAGTTGGTGAACTTAACGTATCACCTTCTCTCAATAGTGGAAGAGGTGAAGCTGCTCGAGAACTCGTGATGCTATTTGGCACAGAATTTTCAATTATATTTGTCGTGTTGTTAACTGTTGGCGTGCTGATGTTTGGAATGCTCACCGATACGGCAGAAGTAACATCTTTGACCCTATGATAATTTAAAGAACCTTCAACTATTGCATCCGCTATTCTATGTTTATTATTATCAATCATTATCGAATCTTCTACGTTCAAGTGAAATAAAATTTCGGCATTTTCTGCGGAAAAATGAATTTCCAAAGGTGATTCACTGACATTTTTCAATACTAATTGCTGTTTACTCCAACAACCAGCACAACAATCACCGAAATCAAGAACGTTTCCACTGCTGACTACAAGTGACTCTTCTCGCAACACTGATCTTACGACCGCGTGAATGCGACTTTCCAACACGTTTGATGGATCATTGGCATTCTCCAATTGTAGATCATAATTAAATTCACCAATTTCTTTTGGACGAAATGTTACTCGTATTCTTCGATGAGTATAACTTGGGATTGGTTTAGCATCCAATAATTCACCCGTGTCATAGTCAGTAAATTTAAGCGAATCTTCACATTTCGAGTTAGATAGATCGACCGTATTAATTAACCAATACAACTCTATTTCTGATCGATTCCAGATTGTGAAATCTTTGAAGTAAGTTCCACCCGTTACACAATCATAAAAATTGATCCCCGTTTCACCAACATCAGTCCATAATACAGAGCGACAGACGGTAGATCGAAATTTAATGGTTACTTGATAGTCTGCTTTGAAAATGCTACCACTGCTTGCATCTGCTTCCGATTTCAATGGTTTATTAATGGCACTTGGAGATACTTTGTAGTTAATTAAATACAATAAAAACACCGTAGTTTATTTAGGAAAATTATTTCATGAAATATTTTGTAAATAACTTGATTAGTGAATTAACCAACAAACCTTGATCAATAGTAGACGATGTTACACTCGTGGAAGAAGAACCAACCTGGAAAGAATTCTCTGTCGTTGGTGTAGACATCAGAACTTCCTCTTCATTAGCAGTAGTCAATCTGCTATCTTGCCCATCATCCGCTGAAATCTCTAATTCTTTATCAAGACTATAAGCAAAAAAGAACAAAAGTCCATTGACCTCAAAAAAATCATGAGTTTCATCTCCTTCAGCCGTAGTCAAGAAAAGATTTGCATTTTCATTGGCATCTTCAGTTGTCTCAACATTATCTCCGTCATTTATAGCGGATGAGAAAGACGTGTTGGGCGACTCGCTTAATTGCGACGATATATTGTGATCGATGTTCAATGCTCTACGAGCTTTATCACGTGCATCCGGTAGAAATGCCAGTATTACTTTTTGAGTCTGTCCCGGCCGAATTTCTACTTCATCGATATGATTAACATGATTAAAGAGTTGATTAAATTGATGTCCATTCACGATATCTCCAAATGCACCGGCAGCTGCAGCCGCTACAGTATTCGTCGCAATATTATTTAGAGGATTTATAGTTGTACTAGGAGGCAGTAAATGTGGAGGTGGTGATGGTGATGACAACGTTAATCTTTGAGAATCCGATCCGCTAAAATCTTCAGACGCGCTAGACGCGTAATTATCCAAATCGCTAGGTTGTGGCGCAGCAGGATTAACACGAGGTGACACAGGTAAACCATTGAACTCGTTATTTATAGTAGATGAAGATTTTTGCGTGTCAAAGTCTGGCAAATTCTCGTTAGTCAGTTGAAAAGCAATTTGAGAGCCCAAGTTCGAACGTAACTTTACAAGGATTCTATTAGGTGATATGTTGCGTATTTCAAAACTTCTTAGAGAATGTAGACCATTAAGATATACATTATCCAGTACAAGTCTATTAGGAATGTTGACTAGCTCGAATAAAGGTTTGTGAGATGAGTTTTGAAGAGTATGTTGTTGCTGCAGCTGTCTTAACTGAGAACGCCCGTTGAGAAGCTTTGATGTAATGTTGATACCGTTATTTGATTTCTCAGTTCCTGCTGCCATTGTATGAAAATTTCTTAACAATTTATCTGCTGCGGCGGTGGCTTTTCAAAAAATGAAGTTAATAAGCGCTTTTTTGATATTGTTTTTTGGTGGTTAGCTGACCGAATGATCGCGCGATTTATAAAGTAAGGAACTATTAAAGTAGCTACCTAAGGGGGAAATATGTTGTGTATGTTAATAAAACAGGAAGGAGCAAAATAGGGATGAGCGATTGCTCAGAAAGTCCTCTCTGAATATAAACGAAACTGCATCCTCCTTTTTATGCTTGTCTAGTCATGAGGACAATGATAATGTCCTCGTCCTTGTGTTGGTGGTGGTGGTGGTAAAGTGAGGAGATTTCTCTCTTGTGTAATTATATCGGTAGAGTCAAATCAAAAAAAAAAAAAATACCAATCAAAGAGAAAACTTTCGATTGTCCCTTTTCTCGCAACTTTTGAGATCATTTACATTTGGCATTACTTACATGCACACGATAATACGATAGTATCAATCGTCGTGTAATCCCAAGAATGGACATGTGAACTTTCAGAAATAAAAAATTTTGTCGCGTGTTATTATATTTATTTATATATCAAGAATTCTTGCAAAACGAATTAATGTCAAGTACAAAAGTCGCCGTTATAACTGGTGCTAATAGGTAAGAAGCCATTTCCTTAAATTTGCTTCGATTTCTCGCTCCTTACACTCATTCTTTAAATTAGCGGCGTAGGTTTTGGGACAGCTCAAAGACTCTTGCAACATTCGGAAAATAATCCTACAGAACGCATAAAACTAGTCTTAGCTTGCCGTAACCCAACACGAGCTGCTAACGCCCGATCCGCTCTACTCAAAAAGCATCCCAAAAGTGATATTGACATTGTGATAGTAGACGTGAGTTTAGTAAAGTCTGTGCTTGCGTGTTGCGCGGAGTTAAAAAAGAAGTAGGCATTGTTAAACTTAATTGTAATGTTCGATCCGTTTGTGTTGAATAAGTTTTTCGGTTGAATTTTTCTAGATATCGTAAAGTAAATTGGCTTTTTTGCAATGCCGGAATATTAGCTTGTGATTATGTAGATTTTGGGATCGCATGTAAAGAGTTGATAGTTAATCCGAAAAGGCTGTTAACAGAAACCAGATGTGTTATACAGCCAAAAGGATGTATTACTAGCGAAGGACTTGGGGAAACTTTTGCGTGCAATATTTTTGGTCATTACGTAATGGTGAGTAGTTATCAAATGATAATATCCTACTATAATATGGAGAAGATAATATTTTGATTTTCCTAGATTCATGAACTTGAAGATTTACTTGCTGCTTCTGAAGAGGCCCGTATTATATGGACAGGTTCCAGTACATCGGCAAAAGGCTATTATAACGCGCAAGATTATCAAGGTTTAATAAGGTCGGTTTAATAAATAAATTATCTGTTGGATTGAAAATCTTTTACTATTTTGATTATATTCCATCAACCGTTCTCTAATTCTCCTATACACAGCAAATTCCCCTATGAGGCTTCAAAGTATATGGCAGATCTGATTGCGATCGCGCTCAATTCACGCATGAATTATCGTAATATTTATACGTTTGTAACTCATCCAGGCGTAGTTGCCACCGATATTATGAAGGATCATTTAAACTGGTTTATGGCAAAGGCAATGCACACTGCTTTATACATGGTAATTTATTTTCTTTTAGACGATAATCATCATTTTTACCCAAAAGTCAGCTGATCTTCCACTTTTTCTGCAAAAGTCTAGATTTTTAGGAGTAAATGAACAAACTGTGACTAGTTGGAATGGCTCGTTCTCGAATTACTATGTAGCCACTAGCAAACCAACCGAATCACTGAAACTGACAGTAAAATATGGATCGTACATAAAACCATGGGGTACGATTTATGTTCATGAAGATCCAATGGATTATTACGATGAAAAAGAAGCCCAGGATCTATTGAATAAATTGGATGCATTGTTGGCAGAGTTTCTTATAAAATATCGAAGTTAGTTTGTTTCTCTCCATTTTTTTAATTTCACCTATCATTATAGTATAATATATTATACAGTAGTAATGGCTGGCGGTTTTTTTATTATAATTTTTTTTTACATAATAATTAATTTAAAATTTTATTTTTATAATATATACAAGACTTTATATCGTAGAAATATTAATATTTAATATAAATTTTTTATTTTTTCTAATATTAATGTAATAATTTATTTATTAAAAATTTCCAAAGATAAATATTTTAAATATTTTAAGAAATAATTAATATTTTATGCTGATTTTTGGAATTAACTAGATATAGATCGGGGAAACAATTTTTTAATGGGCAAAAGCTGATTTAATAATGTGGTTTTCGAATTATTGAGCCTTCTTTAGTGGCAACCACTAACCGAACCGTTTGTAAAAAACCTTTAATATCTCAAAAACTATTAAGAAACTGGTTTTTGAGTATTATGAAAGTGTTCAGCCGATCGATTTATAGTTACCATAAAAATTTCAAAAAATTTAACATTTTCTGTGATTTTTAATGTTAATTTAAACGTCAATCGGCCATTACTTTCCAGTGTGACTGTAGTATAAAGTATTAGAATGTATTTTTCAACAAAATAAAGAAATCTGATAATTTATTATACAATGCGAATATGAGAATCTGAAAATCTTACATTACAAAATTAATATATTACTATTATACAAAGAAAAAATGTCTTAAAAGTTGTGAAGAATCACAAGATAAATGTTTGCTTCAAAAATTACAAAGTAAAATCTTGAAAAACTCGTTACCAAGTTCCCGCTTTTTATTACAAACTCATCGATCGAAATCGTATACTTCCGTCATCCCTATCATCTGTTCTTACCATTACTCTTTCAGCCATGCCACCCCTCTGCTTATCCAATGGTAATCCACGATACGTATACCCGACAAACGCTAGCTGCTTTCGCATATTCAGTATTTCGGTGCCGTGTTTTCTGTCGCGAAGCATCGGATCTCTGGGTTTACGTTCTTCGCCTTCAGGAGGCGCTAATGGATTATCATCAGTAATTTCTTCAAAATAACGTGTATCAATATCGCTTTTCAGTTTTGGTTGGAATGGAGGTTTTACATTATGCAAGTTATCCCAATCGATGCCTTTAAACCAAGGATGTGCTTTGATTTCTGAGGCATCACCTAATCCAGTAACCGAAGATTTACGATTGTTTGCATTACGACTATTAGGAAGACCATTACTATTGGATGTTGAACCGGATCCAATACGATCGTCTCGTTCGCATATTAATCTTTCAACCAGATCTTGAACTTCTTGTGAAACTTTGGGTCGGGAAGGGAAACGTAATGTTTGACGCCAATTAATGATCTTAATACGTGTTGTGTGACGTGTTTTTGAACAGAACGGAGGATATCCGTAAAGCATTTCAAAAATTATGACCTGTTTGTTGATTATGAAAGTTTTAATATAATTAATTCAAACAATTTAAATGCAATTGATGAGACTAAAAATATTGAAATAAACTTACGCCTAAACTCCACCTTAAATGTAAATGTAAAGAAACGTAATTTCAATTAGTGCGAGCAATTTTGTAAACTAACAACACAAGAAAAATATCCTACCAATCACATCCTTTATCATATCCGGTCCCTCTTAGAACTTCAGGAGCCATATAATTGTTCGTTCCGACAACAGAGAATGCCATCTTTTTACGATTTTTATCTCTCCAAGTCAATATATTTTTGCTCGGCATTCCATTCTCATCCTCAGAATCACATTCGTCCGACCAATCACCCCATCTCTGAGGAAATTGTAATTTCCTTCCCATTACACGGGAAAGTGTGTCCGTTTCGATATCTATTCCAGTTTTGCGTAATAAGTCTTTACGCTGCTGGTCATGATATGCCGAATCATGTGCCCAATGAAAATCAGTTGCCAAACCAAAATCTGAAAGTCTTATGTGTCCTTCGGAATCAAACAGGAAATTATCCGGCTATGTTTCATAAAAAAATTTACATATATTCAAAAAAAATGGAATGATTTGAATAGATTGACAAAAAGGAAAACATACTTTGATATCACGATGAATATATCCGAATTTATGTGCTTCCTCGATACAAAGCACCATTTCAGCTACATAAAATTTCGCAAACTCCTCTTCAAAAATATCTTTTTCAATCAAGAGATTCAAAAGATCACCACCTGCCATATACTCCATCACAAGATACAAATGGTCCACATCCTGAAATGAATAAAATAATCGCACAATCCATTGTGCTGTCTCTGCAGCTGCGGTCAACAAATCTCTTTCGGCACGTACATGACCTTCCTGCCCCTTCTTTAACATATCAGCTTTTCGCATAACTTTCATCGCATAAAGTGTTCCTGTACCTTTCTCCCTGACTAATTTCACGACCCCAAAAGCACCATGTCCAACAGTTTTGATTATGTGAAATGAATTAACGGTGATCTTTGTTCTGATAAGACGCATATAATCTGACTCGATATTGAGCCACTCTTGTCTGATTTCACGTTTGTCTTCTTCCGGAATTCCCATCCCTTCGAGCTCAGATTCAAGTTGTAAACGTCGTTTCGTACGTCCGGATGGTTCCTTGAGAATACCATAAAAGTAATTTTCGAAATATATTTTTGTTGCCGCGGATTTCTCTACTGTTGCAAGAGAAGGCACTATCTCTTGATCTATGAGTTCATCACCCAAACCAAAGTCAACGACATCCTTCATCACCACGGTCCCAGTGGAATTTTTCTTGCTTTGTAAAAAAGCGGCTTCGAGAATATTACGCGAAGTAATAGATTTTGTGCGAAAAGAAGGGTCTAAAACAGTCGTAGATAATATTAGTTTCTTCAAAATGATAAATTCAAAATTACTTTAAGAAAAAATTAGGATAACAATTTACCAGGCAATTTATTCATTGTCGGGTTTTTACTCATATTCTCCAATATTTCTTGAGCGTCCTCGGGATTATCAGTATGAACTAAATGCCTTTTATAATAATTTTAATCGGATGAATAAGATTCGGACATTAATGCTAATCAAAAAAAAAAACTCACTGAAATTCCATTGGCACTGATATCTGTTCTTTATTCACGTTATATCGCTTCTTCATGAAGGTGCCAAATTGGACAGGGACTTGAAGAAATGTAAAAAAGGAAAAGTTCACGAAAGTTCTATTATCTCTCAAAATTGACCTCGCAAAGAAAAAACGCCATGATATGCATACCATCCATTTTTGTTGCCACATAGTCTAGTATTTCATAAAATCGTGGAGACGTGACCGAATTACGTCTATTGGTAGTATCATTTGGAGACTTTGCTCGCACGGTTTTTCGCTTAAACATGATTCTTTAAAGTGTTATAACTAAGGTATATATTAACTAGATTTTGTTTAAAAGAACAAAGAGAATTAATACGAAAGAACTAATACGAAAAGGTAATAGAGCCAGAGCAACGTGTTTTTTATAGCAAACAAAAGATAGGGGAAAAAGAACGAAGATGACAGATAAAGGTGGAAGAAACGTGTTGTTATTATTAATTTTGTAGGGCTCCTTAACTATTTCCCATAATTGGATGTTCGTATTACGCGAATTTATACGAAATAACACGCGTTTTTACATACATGCACTAATACGAGTTTATAACAAGACCTAAAATATCGTCATAATCATCAATCACAGAATTTGTAGAAACTCCTTAAGTAGATCATTACAGAAATAAGATTAATTGGTCATATAACAATTACCTTTTTAGTAAGTAAATAAATTATCGTTATGGCTTTGAGGTTAATTACGTGGCAAAGTTGTTACAGGGGGATAACATCCCTCATCAATAAAGTTTCATGATAAAAAAAAATATAAATACAGGGAAACCTTTCAAACAAGTATTTAAAAACATGTCAGCATCTACCACTGAAAAGAAGAGCGTTAATGATTACATCAATAACAATAAGAATGAAGACGATGATTTAGCGATGCACCTTCCTCGAGAGATTCTCAATAAAATTTTTTCTTTTATACCCGATGATATACGAACCTTACGATCCGCACTTCTTGTCAATCGTGAGTGGTGCCGCTGTGTAGTGCCACTATTGTGGAAGAAACCATTCACCGTCAAACCACAACCACCATGCACGTCATTAAAACGACGAAATATTATCGGCGTGTATTGTTTATATCTGGATGACGAAACCAAGGAAAAACTCGGCATTGATCCGCGAAATTTCAAAAATTACACCAAATCCCCCTTATTTGACTATCCATCTTTTCTTCGGGAATTGGATTTCATCAAAGTGTATAATTTCATTTCAAAGTGGTCAGAAAATACTTATATTAGACTAGCCCAGGATGTTCTGGATGCATATGGTCAAACTCAAGATGGTATATTAGATAGGTATAAGGAAAATGTTGATCGAGTGGAATCCGGTTGGGATGAAGAAAATGATAATGATTGGAATTGGAAAATCAATGATGAAAATGAACTTCCAACAATTACCCAATTTATTAGTATTCCTAATTATTTCAACGATGATTGTGATAATTACGATGTTGATAACGAGATGCCATCTAGTGATCAAGACCTTTCAGACCTTTCAGATCTTTCAGATCTTTCATATGATGATGATAATGAATTCATTGGATCAAGTGACGAATATGAAGCATATGGATATGATGAAGATAGCGAGTTTGGTGAAGAAGGCGAAAGAAATTTATTGCAATTCACCGTGGAATTATTCAAAGTTTTTTTTGGTCATTCACCTCGCTTCGATACTATTTGCTTTGATATCAGTAATCTCACGCGCGTTCAACCGAACATTGTTGCTGAATATCTCAATCAAATACCAAATCTGGCTGGGGCAGATAAATCTTTACAACCGTTATCGGAGCTTCGCTATGTTGGTAATCAATATTCTGTTGATACCATGGCAAAGCTGGTTAATATCTGCAAGAATCTAAGATCTATTGAAATCATCGAGTGGAATAATAGTGATACTACAAATCAAGTTGCTGCGCTTATTAAAAATCAAAAATCCCTCGAAAAATTAAATTATCGAGGTAACTGTGACAATCTATCCGCAGTTATCCTTGCACTAAGGAGTCAAAAAAATTCTTTGGAGGAGCTCGAGCTTATCAACGGTTATTTTAATTATGTAGATACTGTTGAGGCGATTGCAAGCTTGAGTAATTTAAAAACGCTAAAAATAAGAAATTGCAATCTAAGCGCCGCTATAATGCATCCCCTCACAAAAGCTAAGTTCCCAAAGCTTACAACCTTTCATTATGTAGATAATCAATATGATTGGGACGACTTGATAAATGGTGAGGATATTCCACCTGTCAGTGAACTCAAAGTTCTACTCGCAAATATTGGAAATCAACTCCAAGACATCCTCTTGGACATTCATGAATTCTTTTACCTCGGCACGATTAAGATTCTAGCCAATCACAGTCCAAATCTTATCTCATTTTCGGCCAATATTCAGATGGATCAATTACTTGAAGAATTCCTGGAATTCCTTACTTTGCTGGCTGCATCAAAAAAGTTAGAAGGGATTGTCATCCCTGCCAACTCGTGGAATCGATTACTTAACACAGATCATTCCATGCAGCGAGTCGGTCAAGCGATTCCAGCTTCGGTGCGCCATCTAGATTTGACGCGATGGACATTTGGGCCGAAAGCGCTTGAAGCTTTCCTCGAAGAATCTAAAGCAAAATTAGAGTATTTTGCTTGGCATTGTCCTGCTGAGTCGGGTCACGCAAGTGTTGCAGTAATCGAGAAGTACGCGAAAAAACACCAGCTACAATATAATGAACCCCGCATTTGCCTTGCTGGCAACTCATGCAAATTGCGCGTTGAATTTAGGAAGAATAATTAAAAGCATTTGTATTTATTTTTTTTTATTAATGTATTAAAAGAAAATTGCAGCGAACAAATTTATAGAAATAAAAATCATTTAATTGGTTCGAATAATCTTTTTTTACTTTTGCGAATTTTAAATGTCTTCTTCTATATTGAGATTTTAATAATTACCAACACTTTTCAATTTCCTAATCAGACACTCTATTAATATGTTTATATTCTTCGACACTTGAATCAAAATATTAATTATTCTTTTTATCCTCCTTTGTAGCGCTTCTATCTTTATTAAAAATCCACACCGTTGAAAACACCAAAAATCCGACAGACATTGACGCAGCACCCGCATAATATGGATACGCAGCCAATATAAACCGCGGGTACTCGTTATGTCTAAACGGCCGCACCGCTACAGTCGTCATATCGATTATGTAAGAGTAGCCGGGGCGTTTGTAATTCACTTTGAACGTGAACACGCCGTACACATCTGGTAATTGCAAATGTGATTCAAATATTCGTGAATTGTGATGATTTTGTGGTTGAATTTCTAGAGGAGTAAGTGTACGCCTGATATAAGGATCGAGCATTATCACTTCTAATTGTACATCCGTGCCATTAAAAGGTTGCCATTTTTCATTCGTATATTCCGATATTTCGATACTATAAACCTATATACATTATGATATTGATGTTGACATAAGTAATCATAATGACCACGAGTCTATATCATAAAAAAGCTACTTACTATATTATCTTTGATGCGATATGTTTCTAATGGTTCTTCCTCGCCTTCTAGGTGATGCCGACGAGCTGTGACTTTAAGAACGCCTTTTTCTTGAAAAGTCCATTTTGTCAGATCATCAACAAAAGCCTGGTTTCCAGATTTTGGATGTCTAAAATGACAAAAATATATCATTTACTAATCGAAATATATCTTATCAATTAAATAATATCGAAAATAAAAATACATACGACTCTTTCGAATTAATTTTTTGAACTGGCGAATTTAATGAGCTTGCAGTATTCAAAATCATAAAGTTAACAATTTATCCCGAATAAATGCTATATAATAATGATAGGAAAAACGAGGCAATACACATACCTATCCTGGAAAAGTTCCAAACTACCGACAAAGGTGACTCGAGCATTATTTCGAGCCTGCAAAGCAGAAACTAAACTAATATCACTTCCAAGAATAAATGGATCCTGATCTGCTATCTGGTCCTCCTTCGTTTCATATGAGTAAGCTGTATTACTGGTGATCCACGCAACCCTCGTCAACAAAGGAACCGTTCCTATTTTATGTCCGATCCCTTTGTACAAAATAGGAGGACCTTCTAAAGTTTCTTGACTCAAAATCATCGAGTTATTCGTGAATCCGCCCTTTTTGTCGTCCAACACGAGTAATGTATGCTTTCCGTCTGAATCTGACACGTCGTAGTTAAAGTGGTCAATAACGGAAGTATCACGGTCATCAAATTCAATATCAAACTCTCGCGCGAAATCCCGAATTGTTTCAGAAAGTCCTGAAGAAGCGGCTAATAATATATTGCCACCTCTATTAACGAAGTCGATGAAAGCAGCCGGATTCACTTTGTTATCATAGTCTATGAAAAGATATTAGTTTACTAAATATAACAAATAAAAATCGAAGGTATAGCAATTGAATTCATTCGTTACTTTTGGTTTTTGGAGCAAAGTTTATAACATGGTCGAAAGCCCGTTCATTAAATGCAAGTAAATCTACCTTTGGATCGGAAGCTGTTTTATACGAAAACGTGTATTTCCTATCTAGTTAAAAAAAAAGAAAAAGTATCAGATGAAATAATAGAGCAAGCTTACAGAAAAATGATTTATGAAACTACACCTTCTAAAGTTTTGAAAAACTGGGAATAAAGAGCTTTATCGGCCTCATCGTCCAACAAGACAAGGACTCGTTCGCCTGTTGCAGATTTAGCCTGCACATTATGGCTATTAAATCCCACCAACAGGACAAGCAAAACTATGGTCGTAGAAATAGCAAGTGATAAAAGTCGTCGTACCATTTTCCCGAAGTTATTTGAAAAATTTAATTTTGCAACTTGTCGACGACATCATTTTTTTGGCAAAATACTTGGCAACGTGTAACTGGCTTTTGATTTTTGATCTACAGGAGATCAGCAGCTAGTTTGACCTCTAGGAAAATGCCAATCTCTTGTTTCTATTGTATCGATACATTAGTCAAAATGTCAAAATATTTTTTAATCGAAATTTTAAACTTGATTGGTCGATCTTATACATGTAGTTTGTAATTTTGAAATTACGTTTTCGTATACAATCCATTGTTTCACCAAATATAGTAATCACAATTACAATGGATAATGATGAAGTATCGTTCGATTTTTTTAAAAACCGAAGATTTCATATTTGTTTGTCGATCGTTTGTTATTATACGATTTTGCTGCGTAGAAGGTTTTAATATAGGTTTTGGCAAGCAACCTTAGACTCAATTAGAAAATATGAGAACATACTTTCAATTTTACTATAAAAATATTTCAATATATCGATACTCGATATAACGATGACAACCCAAAAATACTTTTCCTCGATATAACGATTTTTATAATAAATTCTCGATATAACGATTTTTTTACTAATCCCGACTATATTGTTATATCGAGGTTTGATTGTGTGTACTATGTTTGTAAGTCATTTGATGTACTCTGGAATAATTTGCGAAATAATTCAAGTTTATTGATCAAAACCAAATCTCTTCTCCTCTCTGGAACGTGAAAAACATAAATAAATATAAAATGTGTTACCAGTAACACTACTCTCTCTTCGCTCTCTTGTATTTGTTAAATAAATAAGTGAGAATAGGAATAATTTGATAATAAAAAAGATTTCTTTTTCGGATAATGAAGGAATGAAGAATTGATCTCGAGAAAGCATTTAAATCATAGTGGAGGATAATTTAGTACAGTACAGTATAGTATAAATATAGACAGAGATAAATTTACAAGAAATATATAAAATGCTTTATAGTGTAAAAGTAATTCTAATTCTTCATTACACCACATCCACCTTGCCAATATCCCCAAGCACACATACCACCGCCACTAGTATTAACATCGTTATCAGAATTGATTGTGGCTGAGGCTCCCACGTCAAGAGGACCAACAGCACCAATATTAGCTGAAATGAGTGACTGTTTATTATTGTCATTGTCATCGTCTTTGGATTTTTTTGGAATTGGTGCCGCTTTTGTCGTGGTTATTGACGTGGAAAGAATTATAAAGCAGATGACGAGGAAGAAAAGGAAGAATGATGTTGTGCGATTTGAGGTGTTCATGTTGTTAGTGAATTTCGATAATTGGAATTGAAATGGTGAATTTGGACAAATTGGGAATGAATAGGTTAATGTAAAGAGTAAGTGAAATTTATCAAAAATTTCTGTGAATGAATGAATGTATACAAAAAGTCGAGCTTTTGCGTAGTGGATAGATGATAATGAAAAGAAATCTTCAAGTCTTATCAAAAGACCTTACAAGTATGGAGAGAAGAGCTAGAGACAGTGAAAAGATAAAACAGGTTGAAGAAATTTGGGATGAAGAAAACAAAAAAAAATTTAACGGTATTTATATACGAAAACTATTTCATGTCACGATATTAATTTAATTTATCCCCTTTGTTAACTCTAAAGATGTCTATTGTTTCAAAAGCAAATATATTATTGTTCGTTTAATATTTACAACAAAAAACATGATGCTTTTTGTTTTTTTCCGCCCATTTTGGGAATGTGCATAAATTGGTACATATCGACCACGCACTTTTCATCTGCAACCGTTTTTATTCTCAACAATGTATGGATTGTTTAAGTCTTGATTTTCCCTACATAAGGTTCTTTCTGGCGACCCGAAATTGTATGAATATGTATATCCTTCATTGCCCGAAAAGTAATTTCATTGTTACGACGCATGCAAATAGAGGTATCTGTGCTATTCAACCCGCAGGAAATTGACTCGTTTTTGTTAAAGAACGAGACAAAAGAAATGAATTTATTAATACGTGTCCATATAATTCCAATTGGGTCTTGTCTTTCGATCTCCTGGTTCATTGACTAACTGTTCATTTGATGATATATATTCGAATTTGACGAGAATGGCCATTCTAAACATTTCTTAAAACTGACTGACTGACTGACTAACTAAAATGAGGTTTGAAGATTCGTCATTTCATTGCAAATGTTCATTTTATACATTTTATTTTCTTTTGAATTTTTTTTAGAAATTAATACAGATGATAAAATTCGATCCACAGTTAATAAATTAATAATAATACATGTATTTTGGTCCATTTGTAAAAATTAAATAAAAAAAATACTATCAGCACCAGCTGTAGTAAATGCTATATATGCCATGAATGTAAATGCTATGAAACCTTATTTTCCCAGAATATATTAATAATATACAAGTGTTTTTTCGTGTCTAAAATCGAATGTTTTTTTCTACCAAGCTAATCCAATTTCAGCTGACCTAGGAGATGAAGATGCAGAAGATGATGTGGATCTAAAAGTACCCGATGTTCCCATCAAAATGTTTTGGTATTGTTGTAACAATTGTTCGGATGAAATTGTTTGTTTTTGATTAACGTTGTTAGGAGGATGTAGTAATTCCGATGGACCAGTCCCTCGTATTATATATTTTTCTTCTATATTATCAGGGAATGCAACATTTGCAGAGACTGAAGGTGGTGGTGATCGAATTGAAGATGATTGTTGTTGTCTTATTAATGGTGGTCGCGTGACACGTGTTGATGGTGATGTCGGAGGACTTGTTCGAGTATTGGGATTACGTGGAGGTGGTGGTGGAGGATTCGGTCTTGCTGGAGGTGATGGGGGATTAGGTCGTGTAGGTGGTGAAGGAGGTTGCCGTGTTGGCGGTGAAGTTGGACTTGCTTTACGGCTGGCGGATCTCGATGGACTTGACGGATTTATTGTTGCCGGTGATGTGTCAATCTCCGGAGGAGGACTCGGTGTTTTTGATGAAGATGAAGAAGAAGAAGTACTTAATTTTTTATTCGCGAATCGTGTCACACTTTTTATTATTGAAGGAGAAGTCGGTGATGACGCCGGAGGTGGTGGACTTGCACGTTTAATACTAGCAGAACGTGATGACATAGTTGTTTCATTGTTCAGGTTATTAGATAATGATGCAGGAGGAGGGCTCACGCGTTTGCTAGAAGCACGTGTAACACTACTAATCGCATTAGATAATACTGAAGAAGGTGGACTTGCACGTTTACTTTTCATCTTTGCAGTTTCGCTTGAGAATTCAACCGAAGAAGTAGAAGATCCTGATGATCTTTTCGCGGTATTTTTAAGCGCAGATTTCAAAATCGATGTTGAATTCTTGTTACCGTTATTGTTATTGTTATTGTTATTCTTATTGCTATTGTCGGATGCTTTTCTTAAAACTACAGTTTTGGTAAGTGATGCTGATGAAGAAGAACGTTTTCTCTGCGCAATATTCTCCTGCGCGTTTGTTGCTGATGATTGTGTGTGTATTGGTGCTCCACGTGAAACTGCAGTCTTGGGTGAAGATGACAAAGATTGTTTTCGATGCTGTTGTGGTATGCCAGCACCACTACCTACGCGTGAAATCTGCGTCTCCGAAGATGGAGATTTTTTGTGATCACCGCCGATCTTTCTTTTAACATCATCATGTTGTTCACCGGAAGAAGTGGAAATGATCCTGATTACTGGAGTGATTGTTGTTGATGGAGGTCTCGATAATTTTGATGAAACTGAAGGTGAGGAGGTATGAATGTTTTTTGTTTGTTTCGATTGTCTCTTTGAAGACGAATTATCAACAACAGATCCTACAGAATTACCACGTCCATGATGTAATAATGGAGAATCTGTTTCAAACGATGATATTGAATCTTGTTTGATGTTATAATAATATCCATCAACATCACTACCAATACTATCGGAGGTTGAACGTTTTGAGGTTGTATTAAAAGATACCGACGAAAATGGTTGTTGCTTATTATATAGAGTATCGGATGTACCGTTCGACAATGAAGAAGCTGTATTAAAAGATACCGACGAAGATTGTTTACTAAAGAGAGTGTCGGATGTACCGTTCGATGATGATGAAGCAGAAGAGTTAAGGAAAGCAGGAGTTGGTCTTATTACTTGTGTTTCTGGTGATTTTGTGTACATAGATTGATTATGATGTGCAGGTTGAATTGGGGCGGGTAATTGATAATTAATACTATTAAGATTTTTAAAATTGAGTGGTTGTAGTGGGGGTGATGTTGGCAGGGACGCAAATGATTGTGATGTTGACCCAGAAGATTTTGGTGAGAATGGAGGCGATGCGGATAATGCAAGAGTTGAGGCTGGCGAGAGAGGAGATAAAGGTGATAACGTTGAAGAAGATGTAAGTGGAGGTGACATTTGTATATATGCAGAATTCATGTCTAATGATTCGGGACGTTGATTTCGTGATAATGCAGATGCCGCTTTATAACTCAAGATATTGTCTTCCGGCATATCAATATAGTAACTCGATGGCTGCGAAGATCTCGACGAGACGTAATCATCATTTGGATCTACTCCAAATTGTTGTCGATAATTCCTCGTGCATTTGCCACTCGGCGCCAACGATTGATTTTGAGGAAGCGTGGTTGTAAACGATTTCTTGGAATACAATGACGAGCTCTTTCCGATTGTCGCCGAATCACTCGCCAGATTTTTCGCCGGATAGAAAATCAAGATCAGCAACACGAAGACTAAGTACAATCCGTAGTTCACATGTGTTATTAAAATATCTGCGGTGAATTTGTGGCTATTCAGCCATTTTGCTTCAGTCAATGCGTCTATGCAAAGAATCGTCAATGCTGTGGATCCAATTACTAGTGCGGCTGATAGACAACGATTCATATCCTGAATAAGAAATCCTAGTAAGTAAGATTCATTTCAAAAGGAAAACAAAACACATCACATCAAACAAGTCGACTCACCCTGAAGTATTCCAATTTTCGAATCACACTCTGTTGAGCAGATGCAGCACTTCTTGTCACCTTTAATAACTTCATGAACCGATGATGCGATCTCACGCCCAACAATGCAATTATGCCCATGCATACGGCATATGCAAGTTGAGGAACGATCTCCATGTATAGTGTATTTGCTCGGAATGTGTATTGTAGAATCGGGAATATTGATAGACTGAAGATCGAGTAGATGATGTATGATTTGAATTCTGATTTGTTTGATTGATTTGGTTAACAATAAATTACTAATCATTAATTACTAATCATTAATATTTCAACCAAAAGTCGGATCATAAACACTTACCGAAACTACCCATAAATGAAGTCTTTGCCAAGTTTCCAATATAGAGCCAAAAGGATTGTAAAAGAAATAGCAATGATCTACATAAAAAAGACGTTAACATCACATGACTAGTCCAAGATCACATGACTAGTCCAAGATCACATGACCAAATATGAAAACTTACGTCTGTACACTGAAATTCGCACACAGCACATAATCAATCGGGACCAACCATTGTTTATAGAAATCACTCCAATATTGGTACGGAGTTGTGATAATTTCCCCTGTAGTTGGAACGACTATAAATCCTTCTTCGTATTTTATTATGGATGAGAACACGTCGTAAAATAATTGTAGCGGGCACATGATTATTAGGAGGATTGTGATTGCTGATTTCTAATAAGAGAAAAAGATATTTTTAGAAAGATGATCTTCTATTTATCCTATTCCAATATGTATGTACACATATCTATCTATAGAATACTACATCATTGTTTCCTTCCATTGAGATAGACGGAATTCACCGACTTGCTTATTCTCTTACATACCAATTCAATCTTCTTCACTCTTTTCCAAGCAAGTGCTTCAAATCTATCAACATGCCAGACATGTTGTAGAAACCATATGAATGTCCATAGTGTGAATACTGCCCTCGCTAATAAGAAATACTTTGATAAATATTTTGATGTCAATTGAAATAAGATAGAGAATATTTAAAAGAATACACTTACTTAGATATGACAAGTCACTTGAATGCGACATTTCTCCCTTCCGAATGTGTATAATAGATTAGCACGGTGAATGTTATCAATCCTTTGTTTAAAGGATATTGGAGTGTGTTGTTTTTCGTTAGAGAATGAATAAAAATAGAAAAGACCGAATTTTTTTATGTGGTCGATGTATATGCTATAGTATGATGTGTATCTGTGGGTGTATGATGGTTCGTTCTCTTTTTTTTCTTTCTCGAGTTCCTCTAACTATTCAATAAGATAAAATGGGATGAATTTTTGAATAATGAAATGGATTTCTGAATGAAAAAGTTGAGAAAAGAATCAATTGCTAAATAAAAAGCGTTATTGTGAAGAGTAAATGTAGAAAGGTGCGTGCAAGTTAACTACTAACTCGTCAATAATGAATGATTGTAGTAGATATTCTTCCAATTGGACCAGAAAAGCGGATAAGAGTGGTGGGAATATAATTAAAAAAAATAATAATAATGCAGAGTGTTCAATCTTAATTTTTATCGTCCCGCGACTACTACTGCTACGATGAGAATAATAATGATAGAATAAATATGATTATGACAAAAAAGAAGTACAAGAGGTAATATAGTTTAGCTTACGCGAATCAAACAATAAAATCGAATCAAAAAGATCAAAAGAAAATCAATTTGCAGAAAATAGAAAACAAGAGAATCAATTCAGTAATAATAATAACATAATAATGATATAAGAATAATATACGAGAATAATATATGACAAGATAAATAAATCGCGCGTTCGTTAATAGTCCAATTAAAAGTACACGTATCTCCAAATATATACAAGAATAAATATATTATATATAACAATTAAGCAATAATAGTATGTAATCTAAAATAAAGGCGAATAGCAATAGATTTTGAAGAGAAAAGAGCAATCTAGAGAAGAAAAAAAAACATAAAATTTTCAGAGGATAGCGAGTTCAACGTTTCGGTTTATATAGTCTTACATATTTTGTATTGCTAAACTAGTTATTTTATACAGGTAATAAAACAATATCGATATCGATACGTGTAAATAATCGGTTTATTTGACGCTGATCAACATGCATAGTGATGATAAATATATATATATATAGAACAATCAACTTATTCTTTCGGGTTTTAACTTTTTGTATCACATTTGATGGATTTATGATGATGAAAGCAACGCATGTATGCTGGGGGTTATTTTCTATTTCTTTATTTTCTCAAAAATCACTTCCCGATTTAAAAGGAGATCTTTCGCTCTTGTTTTGCATATACAAGTACATCTGTCTTTGTATGTATGTACGTGTATGCGCGCAAGAGTAGAAAAAAAGTGTGCGCTTGATACATAGAAAATTAAATATAAATATGCAAGCGATGAATTAATTTGCGGGATTCTTGATGATGCTATGTTAGGTCATAAGTAGAGCAGCTGATTATTTTTTTTATTAGAATACCGTTCAACAAACAAATCAAGCCATTAATCTTTATCTTTTTGCGCATTATAAAAAATGAATGGGAACAACTCAAAGAAAAAAATAAATACCAAACTACCAGACCGAAAACTAACAATCATATATTATTATATTATATGTGTGGTATAATACATCGTGGTAATAAATAATAGCGTTTTCATTTTGAATTCCCTCTTTTCATTTTACAAATTAAAATTAAAAATTAAAAATTCATAATATTCACAATATGACATTGTCGTTTCCGGAGAATACAGATCAAAAGTATGTTTTTATTTTTCAAGGGGCGTGAGTGAGTAATAATACTATTGTATCTTGGCCTATCTCAGAGAATTACACATTCGTAATTTAAAATTTCTAATTGACAGCATTACAATGTTGATTTACATGTATTATAACGATAATTCTAACAAACAATCAATTAATTTATAATATTGATAACTTTTCTCTCCCATATACTTGTTTATTTCATATATAGATAAGAACAATGGATCAGTTTACCTTTTTTAAAATACAAAATATATTTAATGACATGCAGTATGTACATACGTTGTATTGGTAAGCGTTTTGGAAATTCTAAAATCCAAAAATAGATTTGAAGGGAATTGTTATTAAATCAGCCGCGCCACCGCATCTATCCAATCATTTATCCTAAACAATTTTTATTGGAGAAAGAGCCCAGCTTATCCCACCTTGCCATCAATCCATTTTTTTCTAGTCTAGGAAAATGAGCTTTTGTTGTCTCAGTTCTATAGCAAGTCAATTCTAGCTATGCAGACATTCGAGGAATCAATATATAACCCGAGACCTCATTTCGTGTATTCTTACATTGCAAACACGTGTCTGCTAATCAGTTTGATAATTTCGCTGGATTCACACGAACACTTAAAGTAATACTTGTGGTGGCGTTTAAAACTCCATTGTAAAGAAAGAAATCATTGTATGCGAAAAACGCGAAACTGAGAAATGACGCAATTAATTTTTAAAATGGCCGGTTGTTCATGCCAACTCTTGGCTGTCGTAATTCAGAAAATCTGACAAAATTTCTGACGAAAGCCGGTTGTATTTGAAACAGATTCAGGCTATTACTGTAATACTACCTACATCATATATCACGGCGCACAGAATAATAATAGCTTTGGTGGTGACACATAATAAGAAAAAAAGTTTCTGTGTACCAAACACGCCATTTACTCGGTCGCACCAAGGAAGATTAACGTAGACAATGAACATTTCATTATTGACGTTAGCCACACACAACATGCGTTTGTGGTGGCTGGCATATATGCACTTGCCATTGTTGTTCTTGACATCAGCAAAAGAATAGTGGCACGATCACTGAATGAGTGAATGCATATTGTGGGGTAATTACTACAATTACTACAATCGTGCGAGGAGTGTTTTTGGTGTGACGAGTTTCGTGATTTCGGTATAATGCGCCACGCAGAGTTTCCCTCGGAGTTTTAGAGCGAATGTTTCGAAATTTTTGTGTGAACATTCGCAATTAATCCTGTTGAATCTATCCTCACAAAGAAAAAATGAGTTAGTTAGGATCTTACCTAAGAAAGAAAATTCTACGAATACTATTAGTCAGCAAAATAAATAGATCAAAAGATAGGTCTATTATTGCCTCATTGGATCATTTCGTTGTTTGCCTTTAATTTAACTTTAATATTACAATCAACAATATCATTTTCTGTAACAACGTGAATCATTTACACCATATAATCTTATCTTTCAACTTTCTTTACCCTTTATATACAATAAAGCGTGCGTAATTTACCTGATGCCATGAATTGTTTATTCGTTTGGTCGAGATCGAACAATTAATATCAAAAAAAATATGCAGAGTTTTTGTGTTTATTAAAACGTGTATCAGATGAACGGATTGGCAATCTATTAATTCATTCATTGTTGTATTCGTTAGGACCCGACTACCACTAGCGAAATATGATATATGGCGGTAAAGTTTCGAACTTGAGTCATACGTTATCCAGTAAAGTCCAGTAACCGTGTAATCCATAACACTCGATATTCTAATCTAATCTATACTAAACTCTTTTCCGATGTACATACATATCATACCAACCAAAAAAGATTCGCTTTACTGAATAGTGTAATACCGACTGACTGACTTTTTAATCCATGTGCGACACATGTGAGCAATTGGTTCATGTAAAAATTCGGAAAAGGAACAAAGACAACTGACTGCCTAACGGAGAAAAAAATCATTTTCTTGGCAATCCATCGAACTGTTCAAATTTTTAAATTAAAAAATCGACTATCTGTTCAAAGCGCTGAAACGCCCTGAGAGGGGCTCGAACCCTCGACCTTAAGGTTAAAAGCCTCACGCTCTACCGACTGAGCTATCAGGGCCAGATGAATAAAAGGGTGTTTTTAAAATAATTATTAATTTTAATAATTCAATACTTTTCCATTGTTATACTGTCGAACCTCTCCATAAGAGCACGATTACGAGCCAAAAAAATTGTTCTTGCAAGAATTTACTATCGTGTTCTTAGATAGTTATTTACATGTAAAAAATTAATTTGTTTTGGGAATGAAGTTCTTATAAAGAGGTTTGAGACGGACATCTTTTAAAGCATAAATTTTTATTTATTATAGTATATTACATGAAGGATTAATATAAATATGGAATATATATATATACGTAAATTCACTTACCATCTTACTAACATATTTGCTATAACTACCTTTTTTTTGAACTTGAAGATTGTGTGTAGATATATGTGGTGTTTGTATTCCGCGATAAGATTCTTTCTCAATTTATCGTGGCCTTACATATATAAAGTCTTGTCCACAGGAATTTCCCGTGAACTAAATGTTCCTAATTAATTACTTTATCTACATAAATCTATCTACAACGTGAGAACAAATCTTGCTAGTGTATCTGATAGAATAACAGTCCTCCAAATTGCCATGATAAACGTAGGAAAGATTCATCGCGAAAATGCCTCACACAATCCAAAGTTCAAAAAAAACTGAAAAACAGACAAAAACTACGAAATAAAAAATCAGATTGTCAATATTATAAAAATGAAAGAAAAGAGAATGTGATTCTTTAAAGTGTTTTTTTAAATTCCATCCACCAATTATCAGTGATAGTCACGACCGGGAAAGTTGCTTCCGCATATTTGCTATATATCATTCGAAGCACGACTTCAGCGCTCTGCAGAAAAGTGATTATATCTTGAACCGTGAGATTTATCGTATAAACATTTCTTCGTTGTTTCAATTCCCATTGATTAACGAAAGAATGAAGTCTGATTGTCATCGATTGAATTTGATAAGCTTGGTCAAATATTTCACTAAAGACCGATATCCAAAGCCGTTCGATGAATTTGAGCATACAGGATAACGACCATGGCTCAGTATCACTCACCACATAAGTCCAATTTTCTCCCAATAACATGTTAAAATGAAATTTGATCGGATTAGGTAAAAAAGACTCGAGTTCATCAATGACTTTATTGATGAGCTCTCTTTGCCCAAGATTTATCATTTGCATTAATAGTGCCTTTGGTATTTGTGGATCAGTGTAAACAGGTCCCATGAGTACAGTGGGTGTCGTGGTAGTTTGGACTGTGTAGCTGGTATGTTCATTTAAGTTGATGTCATCCAGTGTTCTATTCGTGTGTGCTTGATTTGTAACTCCGTTTTTATGTTTTTTATGATTTTTATGATTATTGTTGCAATTATCCAAAGATTTGGATCTCGCGAGTTTTGTTTGTAATGGAGCATGAATTGAGGCATATATCGATCTATCCTCTCCCACTTCCGAATTAGAAGCAGGAAGACTCGAAGGCAGAGTTGGTGGCCGAGTTGATGGCAGAGCCGATGGCAGAGCCAATGGCAGAGTTGATGTCATAACTATATCATTACAATCATCCATAACAATATCCTCATCCTAATTGAAAATGCAGACTTGTAATTAATAGAATCCAAAAACTCATATATAATAAGTACACGATACATACATATGAATTTTCTCCATCGTGAGGATCGCAATATTGATTGACGACCGACGAAGATGATGATCGTGTATAAATGCCATTAATTTCAAACTTTGATAATTTTGGCAGTATTCTTTCCAGAATGCCGTCAAGTCCTTTACCCTTTTTCTGATATGATTCCGTGGGAATTTCTAAAATAACAATACAACTCATTTAATATATTATTTAACGGAAAAAGTAGATTATTGTATCTTACCGTGCACCATCGCCTTTATGCAGAGATTTTTGTCATTTGATAATAAAGTTACTAGGGATCCGGTTTCTAATTTGAAGTATCTACAGAAAGAAATTACAATAATAATAATAATTGATAGAGCAATCATTTTCTTTTATGCAAGCATCGTTCATTGTCAGACTCACCTACAGCAGTTGAGAATTTTGTCGTCATTTTTCTAAGAACAAAACAACAGATGCGCTTCAATTAACTTTTCATTGTTATGCGTGCATTGAAAAATGGGTGATTCAAAATGACGCGCGTCTTTTTTACACACCTCGGCTTCATCGACTTTCTCATCAAGCTTTTGTCCACGTACTCCTTCTTGACCATTCAATAAACAGTTATGCAAAAAATTAATGGCGGTCTGAGCAAGAGTCGATAATGCTGGCTGAGAGCCATCCTTTGGATTCTTCGGGATTTTCTTGGAACCTCCCTTTAAACCATCCAATTCTTGTAACACAATCCATGGTATGATGATAACGAGATTATGCAGTTTCGCGTGTTCATAGATCAACGATTTGACAAAGGCCAGGTGAGAGAGAAGGAAATTCGTATCCACGACAATTATCGACTGAAATGAATCATTCGTGACCGGCGGTAATGTCTGAAATATTATACGTTTTGAGTTGACCACACCTTTACTACTCGCTACTCAATCAACCGTGAAAAACTGCCGAAAAAACCTAAAAAAAAATAAAATACGGCGCGTGATTATTTGGAAGAGGAACACCAACCTGAGCAGGAGGAACAAGGGAAGAATTGGCAGTGTCGCGGAATTCAATAATTTGTGTGGTTATACTATGCAGCGTCCATTCGTCGTCAATGTCCATATAATCAGCACAGTCAAGCGCCATTTTATGCTTGTTTGTTTGCTGCAACTAACAACCTTATTTTATTTGTTAAGCGAAAGAATCTAGATAACACTAGCGCTGGAATTTACTTTTCGAAGTTAAATCAAAATACAATAATGCGAGTACAAAAACGGCTAGTCAAAATTACTACAAATGGTTATTTATTACCATATTACCAAAAATCGACAAAATAATGGAGGTCAGAATGTATTGTTTTTTCAGATAATTTTTTGCACATGACATGAGATTAATAAATATTTTGGGTTTATGAATTTAACAAATAAATCCTTTTCAATCTAAATAAATAAAATAAATAAATGGAAATTGTTCTGTCTATTGAAATCAAAAAAGCAGAAGGATAAATAAGTAGTGAATTGTAAAAATTGGATTTGCAATTTCGATCAACTTTAATCCCGTCATCATATTTATCCAATAGTATACATGCAGCACGGCTTCACGTATTTTCTCTTCATCCATATGACTAGTCGGTCATGTAGCAAATGAATATAATCCAACATGCTTACAAAAATGCCCAAGTAGTACCAAGGGTAGCCAAACAAGAACACACCAATATAATTGTCCAATTCAACAGTTTTTCCCTCCGTGAAATCTCACGACCATACAACCGCAAATGACACAAACACGGGAATATCGCCGAAATGGTGTAGGAGAAAAATGAGCCGAGGATACCCATCACACGATCGAATCCCGGGTACTGGATCGCGACGATGACGACGATCGTCGAGATGAGAATTCGTGTAAATAACGTTAGAGCTGTACGACGGCCTCGACCTCGATGTGACCAGTTTTCAATCCAAGGAATCGTGTTGTAATAGATTTCGAGTGTAAGATTTATCGGGTTCAGGGTTAGCGCATATTTTGCTATTGGGTTGATGGCTACTAACCAGATTACCATTTGATTGAGAAGTCGATTATATCCAGGTGTTGCCATAATGTTTTGTGTTATCTTACGAAAAAAAAAATAAATCGATAATTTAGAACTTCGAACTGAATCAAATATTGATCGCATCATTGAAATGAAAAAGTAATTCGAATACCTCTTGCATAGTCGTATTACCAAACATCAAATATCCACAAACTGCCATAGCTAAATACACAATTGTTGTCATAGCATAAGTCAGATTAACCATTCTTGGATACTCTTTGGGATTTTCCATATCACGATAGACAGTAGGAAACACAGCATGTCCTAGAGATGAATCACCAATGATATTATTAATTACTTGATAATTCACTATCCATATATCTCACAGATAGATGTATAAGTCCATCTTTACCCGTGAATCCAGCCATGATTAGTCCGAAACTCATTGGAAGTGTCGCCCACGACTCCGGTAAGAGCCCAGTATCCATCGGATCTATCAAACTGCCGGGTTTTCCAAATTTGGTGAGACCATCATAAATCAAGACGCATACTAAAGCAGTGGCTGAAAAGATCCCGAGAAGAGAAAAATAGGAAAGGTAACGAATGGCCATCAAGGTTAATGGTGTCATCACCATCCACGCGAGAATCTTTAATACTATCAATGATACATCCGGAAATATGGTATGTAATGAATCACCAACTAATATTACTAATGCCGTGGCAGAAGCGATGAGCTCGAGAGAAAATAAAACTGAGATCACAAATCGAGCACCTTCTCCATATGCGATAGCACCTATTACAAATTAACGATTATTATCATCGCTTCAATCATATAATTAATTGACACATAAAATAATTTTAAGTACCCATATCTGCATAAGTGTGGAGCCCTTCATCGTAGTCCAAACACTTTACTAATAACTTTGCAGTGTAATTAGTAACACAGAGACAAAACACGAAAAGTGATAATCCGATCGCCCAACCGGCAAATCGGAAACCCAAAGGTAAAGCAAGGATTCCGATGCCGATCAAAATGTTACAAGAATTGAATATAGATTGACGAAATGTTGATCCAATATGAACGGGAATTCCATGCATATCTTGTACCACCGATATTGGTACAGACGCTAGTGAACTCCTATTTAGGCAAGTATCATCAATGTCACAATTAAACCAACAGAACAAAAGAATTTTAGATGATCTCACTTTGTCAGAGTTCGAGTGAGTGGCATCGTCTCATCGATGAATTTATGCCCCGAAGTGTATGAAGGTGCTCTTGAATGCCGCCGAGGGCGTCGATCATTATATAAAATAGACGCAGGGATCGAGGCAGCAACAGGAGTTCCGTATTCTGAATGTTGAGGACTTCCGCTTATCGGGGATAAGAATGATCCATAGAAACCGCGTGGGATGCTGATTGGAGGTGAACTAAAAAATGGAGGCTGTTGTTGTTCACCTTCAAAATGCTCAAGGTCATCGTTAGCATATGCTGTTTCCCCGACAAATGAAGCAGGAACAGATATGTTATCGGATATATATGTACTAAAAATTAAAAGTTAATATAGCATACACACATATATAATGATTTTATTTTCCGTGTCGACTTTACCTGACAGTATGACTGTAATTCCCTGTCCAAGATTGTAATGTACTTCCGATGTTCGATAAACTTGAAGCGATACCACCCATACTTCTCCCTGTACCTCTTCGCCGATGATTTAATGTGTTAGCATTGGTATTACTTCTCTGAGACGAAGGAATGTCCATGGGTGACAAATGGTCGTTTTGTTCTGACATATTTTTTTCTTGGTATTGTTGAAAGGGTTTCGGCTAAAGATACTATGAAAAAAGTAATAAAGAATAATTCAACTAAGTTGTCTGTTTTTAAAAAAACGATATTCTATTCCACCAAGTCCTTTTGTCTTAAATAACCGGAAAAACAAATATATTCATTAAAGCGCGCACGCGCGCTAAGACATATTTATGTTGTCAAGGAGAAATTATCAATCCACATTATCAATCATATCGTTATTTATTAATTGATATATAAGAAATAATAATTGACATACATAAAAAGTAGCGCGAGATTTTTGCCTAACATATAATATGGAGATTTGTCTGAAACGATCACAACAAACAATACTATCTCTTCTTACATATTAAATGTAAATTATAATAATATACAGTATCTGTATATGCACTCTATCAAAAGATATGGAGGGCATTGCATATTTCTACTCTGATGCTTTCAACAATGGACAATTAATTGTTGCGCAATTACCTATTTATATCGATTCATGTCACCAAAGATTATTTATTTACGCCAACTACAAGAGATGTGATTGGTTGGAATGTTGTATGAATCAGTTATAGAAAGCAAAGAGTTAATATCTATAAACAGATAAAAAAAGCGTCAATTCAATGATTGATACACTGTAATATTTTTTATCATGGTAAATTGCAATGAAAAACTATTCAAATATGGGAAAATGATATTACAAAATTACAGAATTAAGATCAGTAATTTACCATTTATATTGCACCAATCATATGAGGCTGTCCTAATGACGTATTTTCTGATTTTTAGATAATGAAGTTATGCAAAGTTACGTCAATATTACGTATTACAGTTAAAAGTTCGATAAACCAAAGGCCTCGGGTTATTCAAAAACATTCGCTTAACGTTATAAAGTACTATTTATATTATTCTTCGTTTTATCAAGCTCTTTGTTGATAGGTTGGTTCCTGAAAATTCTTCGTTTTAACGCGAGTTCGCTTTATCGAGGGTTCGCTTTATCGAACTTTAACTGTACAATGATAGACAAGTTGTTCTATGACTCTTTGGCTAGCGATCATGATTCTACTCGCATTAATGCAAATTTTTAATTCCTGCCCTAAATCAGACTTCGATATGCAACTTCCTTTTTCTTCGAATATGTATGTATATATATGCAACTTTCTTTTCTATTTTGATAACAAAAACGAAAGATTACATTGTTCACTAGTACATGCCTTTTTCTCGTTCCTATACCATTTTGATAACAATAACGGGTTTTTTTCCTGAATAATTTCCAGTTTTTTTTTATTTTTTGTTTAATTTAATTGTGATTCTTGTTATATATTGTAATGGTAAGTTTAAAAATTTTTCATTAGTATTTTTAATTTTGTGACACCTTGATAACTGAGTTATATAATTTATTATAAACGAAAACCAGTTTTTTATTATTGAAATATGCATGTTTGTATATATGTATATGCTATGTCTTTAGACAATAAATATAACGATAAGGTACCGAGTACTAAGGCTAAAAAATATTAAAAATTATAACGAAAAAAAATTACAGTTTAGCGAGGAGCCTTTCTAGTTCTAGGTATGTCGAACAACAATTATCTAGTCTAGAGAGAGTTATAGCTTTTCACTACGTTAATATGTGTCAAAAGAATGTGTGTGTTTGGTAACTGTGGTGATCATGTGCAATTATCAGAAAAGAATCCAAGAATACTCCCTTTTTATCCACTCTATAATTTTTAGGTTGCCTCCGTTACCAGAACGGAATCATCCCGCAAAAAGAGTTTCAAAAAGAAAAGAATCTTTTTTGTAACGCGCAATTTGAGGGTTTGAAAATATAAAAGAAATTAAATAAAATTACACATTAGATATCCCCACCACTTTAAAAGAGAAAATATATACAAGTTTTTTTTTTTCAGCGCAAAGAATTTACACTACTTTCTTTTTTCGAAAAATTAATCTGATCTACAACCAAATAGTTTCGATCGTTTTCCTTTTCCTTATAATCTGCATTTGTTTCCTTTCTTCTTTGTGATTTTAATTTTCTTTCCGCCTTTCTTTTTCTTTTTTCCACCTTTCTTCTTTGGAGGTTTAGATAACGATGACGATGATGTTGTTGCTGCTGCTGCTGCTGTGGTGGTGGTTGTTGCTGCTGTTGTTGCTGCTGCTGCTGCTGTTGTTGTTGTTTCTGCTGTTGTTGTTGTTGTTGTTGAGGTAGGAGTCTTTTTACCTCCAGAACCACCAGAGCCACCAATATTAAGATCCATGTTATCTGAAACATCGGAAGAGGAAGGACCGGATCCTTTAGCGTTGCCAGCATTTGATGGATCACCCTCTGGAGTCATAATTTCAGGGAATTGTGGTGGCAAGTTTGCTCGAGTAATATCAATGATTGGTAAGGGTGCTGTTGCAGTGCCAATAAGTTTAATGTCGGCACAATTTTGATAGAATTCACGATTTCCGAGAGCGTTTATCCATGTCCAAGAGAAGATACATTTTCCTGGATTATCACATGATGGCGCTGCATCTGGGATCTTTACTTTCCAATCAAAGTAGATATCTGGGCAAGTCCTATGATAAGTAGCAATAACTGTGTAAGTTTGACCCCCGTCATAGGATAAAGCGAATTCACAAAGACCACCATTGTGTCTGGCTTGGTTGTTGCTTTCAGAACCTGTTTGTGGACCATTGGGGAACGCTGAATTCCAGAATTTCACATTGATAATATCACCAGCACGGAAAACTTGGGTGATTTTGGTGTCCATTGCATAACCACCACATGGAAATGGCTTCGCTTTACAGGTTGGGCCTTGATTTAATGGCGCAGTTATACAATCGTAATCTTTTACGGCAGCGTTAGGATTTTGTGGGTGTCCTCGTGGAGCTGGGTAAAGCATTGAACTGTGTGCCGACACAGCAGCGACACATAATGCGAGTATTCCGAATGTTGAAAAGAATTTCATTGATAATTTTAAATTGATTTTCGACGCTTGGAAGAAAATATTAAAGAAAATAGTGTATGTATTTTAATTATGTACCCGTCCTGGGGTAAAAAAAAAAAAAACAAGAAAATTGGGAACGAAAAGGGAAATAGTAGTGAAAAGTAGAACAAAAACTGTTCTTTTTTTAATTCGGTAGCCTGACCTTATTTTTGAGAAATCCAAACGATAGTACTCGATATTTATACGTATTCTGTTTTTCATCAACCGCAATCATTATTTAGTTTCCCGGATTGAGTATCACTAAAAAAAGTACCAATTGGATCACATATTATGTTTGTTGTTTATCCTTTCACACGAATTATCCAATTCACCAATTGAGTAATGTAAATCGAGCACAATCAGAAATTCATGTAATTCATCACTCTAATATGTGTGTGCAGTTATCGTTATTAGGTAACGGTAACGTATTGTGTCTATTAGATGCGCGCATATCAAATGCACACGAAATTCGGCTAAGGGGGTGTTATCCCCACTTGCCGACTGAAAGGAAAAAATTTTTAAGCCACATACACGCAAATCCCAATTCGGCCAATGGTTCGGTTTACGGGATAACCGATTTGGATCGACAAAAGATAATTATAGCACTATCGATATACGTAACGGTAACGTATTTTGTTTCCTTTTTATATTTTATATCACGTCGGCTGATAGCGAATTTAAAATCACAGTCAATCAACTCGCTTTTATTTATATAAATCAATTATTTTTGTAAAACAAAAGATTATTTCTTCGTTCTTTGATTGGAACTAACAGAAATGTTTACTCGCCAAGATGTTGTGTCTCATTTGCGTATTAATTCACTTACAATCTCGAATCTAATCAAGATTACATGTATTTAAAATATGATGTATCTTAGAAACAGTCAAAAGTTGGCACCTCAATTACAGCCTATTTGCATCATTAATAGTTGATTAATGTTTGTATTAATTAATTAATACACCAAATTTGAATTTAATTTAATGTATGCGTAACGATAACTGAACATTGAGTAACATGGGAAAAATGCATAATGTTGAAAATATCGCAGGAAAAAAAAAACAAAGGGAGTCCCTGCATAAAAGTTTTGGATTTTTTACAACTTGCTCGTTAAAGTAACTGGGTAGTTTATCTATCGCCAAGGAATACTCAAATCCCATGTTTTCGTTTCAAAAACAGACAGAAAGTGATGAAAGTGGAGAAATAATCGGAATCAATTTCATAGTTAAAGACCGCCTTTGTTTACGTGTTGGCTACGAGAGTTTCATTAGCTGTTGTGAAAGTTTAGAGTTGGATTAGTTTCTTTGTTTTGAAGTTTCATTATCTGTTGTGAAAGCTTAGTTGGATTGTTTTCGTGCACATTTTTGTTTTAAATTTTGCGCACTGCGAATTTACATGTGTTATTACGCAGGTGTAAAGCAATGTCAACGTTTAAAAATAAGCATAAAAATATTATTTTTAATAGCACCAAAATATTATTTCTAATAGCATAAAATATTTTTAATAAACAGGAACAAAGAACCATCCATTTACATATGTGTGGAGCTAATGAATCAATGCGCTCAATTTTGATTTTATCTTTTACATTCAGAAGTTGATTTGATTATTGTATTATCGTTATGCACGTCTATGCTTTGATTAGTGTGATGTATCTTTAAATTTGTTTTGTTCATTAGAAACATAGATTATGAAATTTATCGCGATTTTAAAGTTTCTTAAATATTTCGAGATTTCAACTTTAGAATTTAGTCATTGATGCAGCATAATTACAAATAGAAATTGCTTTATAAAGGAAAATCATGAATTAAGTAATTTGACCACATGAAGATTATAACGACATTACAAGCTGAAACAGAGAAATAATGATATACAGTTGTCCCTCTTTATAAGAACATGGTCGGGCCATAAAAATTTTGCAAAAAATGTTTACTTTTTATAAGTTTAATAATAACTGGTTCCAAATATTGGTGTTCTTATGATTGTGTAGGAAATAACAAAGATATTCTTGATATAATGACTTTTCCAGCTGAAACCGAGTGTCGTTATAACAAGATCCGCTTTGTATTTGGTAAGTTGACTTTTAACAAAACTAAGCATATGTACATTGACAAATCATACGTACTTTATCCAATTTTAGCCCTGGACGAAATTTATTGAGTAAGACTAGCGGAAGGTATTATTTTTGTTATTTATAATATAATTTAAAAATTAGAATTTTTAAGATTCTAAAGAGTACAAAACTAACCTATGAAGGTGACAGATAAAATAATAAAACAAACTTGATCCATAAATTTCGTCCAGGTCTAAATTGGATAAAATATGTATGATTTGTCAATATACATATGTTTAATTTTGTTAAAAGTTAACTTACCAAATACAAGTGAATCTTGTTATAACAACACTCTCGATGCCAGCTGAAATTCATTATCAAGAACGTCTTTGTACTTCCTATACAATCATCTCTCTTTATAAAAACATCAATATTTGGAACCAGTCATCATTAAACTTATTAATTTAATGATAACATTAATTTATTCAAATAACTATTAATATAGTGACTAACAAAATAATTTGGTACAAAAAGATTTGTATTTCAAAATAAAAATTAATAATTACTTCTAATAAAAGTCATTCAGAATTTAATTAACTCTAATTTTTTATACTAACTAAAAATAATCTAAACTAACTTTTTATAGCAATACTTTTCTGAAAAAATAAAATAAAATAATTATTTTACTTTAAAAAATATATTTTAAGTATTATTTATAATATTAAAACTTTAAATTATATAATCATATTGCTATATATTTAATAAAAATATATTTTAAATTTTATAAAGATTAAATTAGTAATTATTGCAAAATTAAATTCCAAAGTTTAATAATTAAATTATTTACTATATAATAGCAATAAAAATAATATAACACAAAAAAATTATTAATAAATCATAGTAAAAATATGAAAAATATAGATTTTTTTCTTTATATAAAAGTTTTTAATTTTACTAATAAATATTTTTCATTTTTATCTCAACTAAAAATAATATTATATATTTTTTGGATTTTTTAGATTTAATCTAACAATGTTATTTTTTAATTGCATATAAAATTAATAACTTTTATATATTTTTATTATTAAAAATAGAGTATATATTGTTATGATTGAAAATTCCTATAATTTCTATAACTTCTATAATTTTTATAATTCTTATAATCTCTATAATTTCCATAAACTTCAAAAACTATAAAAAATTCTATAATTTCTGTATTTTTCATTGTTTTTATATATATATTAATTAATCAAATTTTATAAA